GTCTCCAGTTTGGAGGCTCATGTGTGAGGCAGTTAGATTCTGAAAAGAGGGTTCAGTGTTTTGGTTGAGGGTCACATGTGGACTGTTTGGTTGGGTTTTATTTTGTTCAGAATTGTATGTAAACTGACTGCATTTACTGGATTTAGCTAACAATCAAGAGGCTGGAAACCTTTTGTTTAAGTCAATCAGAACTTGGTGGGTGGGCCTTTGTATTTAAAAGTCAGTTGAGCTCTTGGGCCTGCCCATCCTTGGGCCTGGTGTTAATTGTGTTTGGGACGAATATTCTTCTAGTACAACACTGGTCTTTCAGTTTGCTGTACTGAGGTAATTTTTGGTCGCTGTGATGCCTAACACTGTGCCACTGGTGCGTCAAATGCCATAATCATTAGACAAGGTGCACAGTGTTTGGTGGAGCTCCCAAACTGAGACAGGCTTGGAAGCAGGAGTGGAATCCACTACCTAAACAACATATCTCTGGAAACTATGAATGTAGAGAAATGACAATAGTTATAGAACAGAGCTCAGGTCTTTTGTTCATAAGGTTGCTATGATTCATGCTTGAATCAGCAGCACTTAACAACAACAACACAACTGTAGAATAATGGTATGTATAATCTTTTCTTTCTATTTCCAAGACTATTACATTGAGCTCTGCTTTCCGCCTAACAGAAATAATTCACTTAGATTACAATGTCTTCCTTATCTAACATTCAGAGTCTTTTATGTTGAGTCTCTTCCATTTGCCCATCCAAGGCCATGTTTCCTCCTTCTCAACTCCATGGTATGTCCTGACATACTGGCTTCTCTAGATTCTATCAGTAGTTTCCTTGTCAGCTGGGTTGGCTTTGTCAGAAAACCAACCAAAAGATGAATTAGGATTAAAAGGCAGCTTTACCAGGTGAAAAACACTAATGCAGTATAGAGATATAGAGAGTTATTTTGAATTTTGCATGAGATAAAAGTGGAAAATGAGGGATTTATATGTTATCTATCCTTTCATTGTCTTGATAATAGTTATTGTGGTAAAGCATGTAGTAGTTATAAGTTACATGACATTTAGATAAAACAATTTCCAACTTTATCCTTGGTGGGGAATTCCTTGACATAGTGAGTAGAGGCCTCATGTGCAATTAGCTTCTGAGTTTAGGCCCCTTAGTTACAGAGACCTGAGTTTGAAAGTTTATGTATTCCCAAGTCATGGGGATTTGGTTGCAATTCTAAGATCAGTCACTAGGAGTGAAGATCTCTGAGGTTCAACTTCATGAGGTAGAAAAACAGAAGATTTTTCTCACTTCACTTAACTCACAGCCTTGCTCGAAAGTTTAGGAAAAACTGTCTTAAATTCTGTTTGGGAAAGTGAAGAGTATCTTCTTTTCTTAAACTCTTACATGAAATATTCATTGTGCAATCACTTTTAAACGTTCAGAATCATCTGCGCATATTCAGAATAACAATAGGAACCTTGTGAAGAACACTTAATCAACCCACAAGATGATCAAGCAGCGACACCAATTCAAGGTTCTAAATCTTACATTGACTAATGTAATTTCTCTGCTTTTATAAAAGACATGTGAATATGATATCAATGTCAAGTTGCCCTAAAGCTCAATGTAGCTAAATCTTGACTCTTCTATAAAATAGAAATCAAATTATTGTATCGAGTTAACAAGTAATTGTCAGAAAAGCCTTTCTGGAAGTTTTAAATCAGATGATTTTCTTACTTAAAAATTTTCAATCTGTGTCTGAAGGTTATATTTTATGCCGCTGTCATCCTACCATTCCTCCTCCCACCAGTACTCTCTCCAATGTTATTTTTTTTCTATTGAAA